CCCTGGAGTGGGGAGGAAAGGGAGATTTTACAGTATCCTTCCCCTGGAGTGGGGAGGAAAGGGAGATTTTACAGTATCCTTCTCCTGGAGTGGGATGGGAATGGAAATTTTACAGTATCCTTCCCCTGCCACACCCACCAAGCCACGCCCATAGAACCGGTAGTAAAAATGTTTGAATCCCACTACTGCTGTAATCCCTTAATTTGGGGTAAAGTCAAGGTGACTGGATGGAGCTCAGCATTTACCAGCCAGATGCCCTTCCTGACACCACATGGAGTCAGCAGCAGGAGATACGGTATATTTTTTTTCTTTGTGCTCTATGAAAGAAATACCTGCCACAAACTAGGATTGAATCTCAACCTTCCAAATGGGAGGTGAGCATCTTCACCAATGATGAAATTCAAATTTTTGTATTACCGGTTCTGTGGGCATGGCTTGGTGGGTGTGGCAAGGGAAGGATACTGCAAAACCTCCATTCCCTCCCCGCTCCAGGTGAAGGATACTGCAAAATCTCCATTCCCCCTCTGCTCCAGGGGAGGGATACTGTAAAATCTCCATTCCCATCCCATTTCAGGGGAAGGATACTATAAAATCTCCATTCCTATCCCACTCTAGGGGAAGGATACTGTAAAATCTCCATTTCTTCTCCACTCCAGGGGAAGGATACTGCAAAATCTCCATTCCCTCCCCATTCCAGGGGAAAGATACTGCAAAATCTCCATTCCCTTTGGATATTGCAAAATCTCCATTCCCTCTCTGCTCCAGGGGAGGGATACTGTAAAATCTCCATTCCCATCCCATTTCAGGGGAAAGATACTATAAAATCTCCATTCCCATCCCACTCCAGGGGAAGGATACTGTAAAATCTCCATTCCTTCTCCACTCCAGGGGAAGGATACTGCAAAATCTCCATTCCCTCCCCATTCCAGGGGAAGGATACTGTGAAATCTCCATTCCCTCCCCACTCCAGGGGAAGGATACTGTGAAATCTTCATTCCCTCCCCACTCAAGTGGAAGGATACTGCAAAATCTCCATTCCCATACCACTCCAGGGGAAGGATACTGTAAAATCTCCATTCCCATCCCACTCCAGGGGAAGGATACTGTAAAATCTCCATTCCTTCTCCACTCCAGGGGAAGGATACTGCAAAATTTCCATTCCCTCCCCATACCAGGGGAAGGATACTGCAAAATCTCCATTCCCTCCCCATTCCAGGGGAAGGATACTGTAAAATCTCCATTCCTTCTCCACTCCAGGGGAAGGATACTGCAAGATCCCCATTCCCTCCCCACTCCTGGGGGAAGGATACTGTAAAATCTCCATTCCCTCCCCACTCCTGGGGGAAGGATACTGTAAAAT